GTTCTGACAGTCTATAATGTTGATCACACACATTTGGTCAGATAAGTAAGGCAAGAAATATAGTTCTGTGTCCTGCCTCCCTACCTAACTTTAATTCCTACCTGAACACATTTTATGGACATTTTTCTGTTAAGCACCATGGAAGAATAGGCACATTTTTTAAGTTAAGAACATTTTTATGCCCCACCTACGATAGTAGAAGGGGCATTATGTTTTCTGGTCTGTGTGTCTATCCGTCTGTCCTGCTTCAGGTTAAAGTTTTTGGTCAAGGTAGTTTTTGATGAAGTTGAAGTCCAATCAACTTGATTCTTAGTACACATGTTCCCCATGATACGATCTTTCTAATTTTAATGCCAAATTAGAGTTTTTACCTTAATTTCACGGTCCACTGAACATAGAAAATGATAGTGCGAGTGGGGCATCTGTGTACTATCAGACTATGGACACATACTTGTTCAATGTTTAAATGAATACCTACCCTTTTTTTTCTGTATGGAAGCAGGAAACAAGTATTTACTTATTTGGCCTAATCATCCATCATTTGGCCCGTCAGTGTACTGGACTTGCATAGATTTAGATTGAAAGGTCTTATACTTTATCATGATTTTGGTCCACTTCAGAGTAACTTACCAGTGCATGTAATGCATATAGGATTTGCAAATGTTGGACTTGAGTTATGAAAAGACTTTTTTTCTTTTTTCTGTAGATCTTGATTATCAATTCATTCCCCCCTTTTAAGCCTTTTCTAAAAATACAAAAGCTGTCAGTCAGTAAGGATTGTTAGGCCAGGATCAGCTGTTTTCAGTTTCCTGTGATGTATAAAAAGATTTCAATGTATTGATCTGTGTTTAAGAATAACTCAATCAATTCAAATCATAGATATGAAAATAACTGTTTTCATCATTGACTTGTCTGATAAATAAGTAGATTTATACCTACTCTCAAGCACATTTATTGTTAAATTTCTCATTGAATTGGCCTTAAATGAACTTTTATGAACATGCATTATACATAACATGTAAATATATACACTGCCTGTAACCGAGTACGGCAGAAAGTGATTTTCCCTCGATTACAGTACTGATTTTCCCTGATTGATTACTGATTTTTCCCGATTTTCCTATGTAGAGAACATCAAAAGGGTAATTATATATGAATTAAAGAAAATCTGTGTCAATAATTATGCAACCTCCCTTTTCATTCATGCATTTTTATCATTGACCTCCCATGGGTAATATGGATTTTAATGACCAATCCTAAAAATAGAAACTTTTCCGAAGCAAGAAAGTCATGGGAAGTGATTTTCTTATATTATTCAAATATCTAAATGTTATTTCTCTAATTATAGAATACTTATTCAAATGTGCAAATTAAGTTAACTTAGAGCTGGAAGAACTTTTTTAAGGAGATTAGGAAAATACTAAAAAAATTATGATTTCAATTTCTGATGCAGTGTACTGATTGTCCACTATCAGTGTACAGATTGTCCCAGAGAAGATGAAGTTAATTACAGATTTTCCCCGATTTTCTCTTATAGTATCATAAGGAAAAAAGGTTCATTCTAAGTTTTATTTTTAACTACTTGCAAAAAAATATCAACATTGCTTTGATAGCTTTCTAAAAATGTCATCTTTGAAGAAGCTCACCATCAGAAGACACATCCATCTGAAAAACTTGTCATTTGGAGAAGACTTGAAGAGGGTGGTGAAAGATAACATACCATGCATTCATTCCAGAACTTCTTGACAGAGAAGGAAAAACTTTTATTAAAATACAAGATGAAAAAATTATAATTTGTAACTTATCAACAAATACACCACAAAAGATTATCAAAAAAGGCAAATCATCACAATCTCTAACCATTTCAGACAATTTATCAAATTCACCAAACTATGAATCCAGAAATATACAAACAGCAAGTTATGAACCCCAAGCAAGAAGAAACCTGTTTAAAGTTTCTGAACCATCTAATGAAATATCAATGAACAAAAAAATCTCTAATTCAATTTTATATATAAAATTGTAGAATTACAGGTTTGCAGGAAAATTTTTCATATATTCCACTATTTTTATTAGCACATGCCTAAGTGTAATGAAGATCCACATATTAGCTTTATTTTTGAAGGATTAGCTTTTTCAAAATCGGGGACAATCTGTATAGGTATCAGGGAAAATCTGTAATCAACACAAGCTGATCGGGGACAATCTGTACACCAAAGCTCAAGTTTAATTGCTAGTTTTTTTCCCATTTAAATGCTTATTTTGTCCAAATTTCTACTTGCATTTTTCAGATTATTATATTTGAACAAAATTTCATGAAAAAAAATCTAATTTTTATTCCCAGTTTTCTAAAAGCAGACTAAAACAGATTTTTTTTTACTCAAATCAGCTACAACAGCATCAAAACAAAGAATAAGGAAGGTCATGATGTAACTTCAAAGCAATCCCACCTCAGGATATCACTTACTAATGACTGCTGACCAGACAGAATAAATGATCTTTAACCAATTGATTAGTTCAAGCTACTTAAATTGAATAACAGAACTATAGTGTAAAATTTATCATGAAAAATCAGTACAAAATCGAGGAAAATCAGTACTATAATCGGGAGAAAATCACTTTCTGCCGTACTCGGTTACAGGCAGTGATATAGCTTTAATAGGAATTATCTGTAGAAAGGTGATTTTCATTTGAACATAAGGCCTAAAAAAAAAAAATCTGTGTTTCCGGTAACATCATTTTGTTAAATAGGGTCGGTAGGTTGGATTTTTTTTTTTTTTTTTTTTTGACATTGTAAACGAAATCCGGAAAATTATCATGGTGTTTTTAATAATTTCTCTTAATGGAGAGAGTGAGGGGAAACTTAATTTAATTGATTTGTATAGGATGAAAATTTACTACTTTTGTGGTGATTTTGAGCTGATATTCTGGTTTACCTACATGTAGCAACTTTTGCCTTTATTTTGGCTATCAGACTTTGATGACTCTGACCCTTTGACTAAGGATATTTCCCCAACAGTTACAGTTTGCAGCTTTGTGTTGACCCTTTAAGCAGAGCAGATTCTTTATAATGAGGAAATTCAGGTCCTTTATAAGGCTTAATATAGCTATAGGTTGCTAGGTAGGTAAAACAATTCTCAAAATAGTCTTGTTTATTTTACAGAATACATGTATATACATGTAGGTAAATGCTCTTGACATTATAGGTGCTTTACCAAAAAATGTCCTGACTTTAACATAAAAAGTCCATAAAATGTGCAAGGGTATGCGTCAGGAAACAAACCTTAATTTTGTTTACCCAAATTATTGAAATTCTCTATAACTACAATATAGGCAAACATCTTGAACTATTCCTTTGTTACTGTGTCAGACTATTATTTTTTTTTTAAATTTCACAACCAGATTATGTGAGCATTATTTTTAACATTACAAGTCATTTATTTTTGAAGACTGAAGTATGATACATTGATATTGACAAACCATCATGAATTGAGATATGGATTTATGGATTTTGTTGTTTTATGACCTTCAGTAGTCAGCTGATGGTTGAGCTAATCCTTATTGACCCTGACTTGAAATTTTACACTATTTTTACATTATTGTTGTATTCAAAGAAATATTTTATCCTATTTTACGGCCAATTAACACAATTTCACACGGTGAGTGAACTAATCGGATGTCCTCTGCACCGTTCCTGTTTTACCTGAATGAATTTTAATGAATGACTTTTCAAGAAAATACCCATAGCGGAAGACTGAAAATAACTCAAAGTATCAGATTTTACGTCATTCAAGTTACAATATAAAATACTCCCACTCAGAATGAATGGTAGTTGGGGCACAAAATTCTAATGACCTAACATATGTGACAATCAGATAATTCTGTGAAGAAAATAGTATTGATTTAGCAGAGGCCTATATCTTTGTGTATTTAATTAACGCTAGACTCTTGCATCAAATCAAAACTGTTTTTCATGTTATTTGGTGCTTGAATTTATCACATTCTTTTTTTATACGTTGTGTTTTGGCAGAAATCATTTTTAGTGGCACCAGACTCAATGATAACTTTACCGTTATAGATTTTTAAAATCTTTAACTTGTGTCTTTTGATTTGACACTGTTGTGTATTGTATTATAAATGGAACAAGTGGTTGACAAAGCAGGAACTTGAATGGTCTTCTGACCTTTTTTTACGTGGATAGGTTTTGGAATAACAGCAATTAACCAGGCTATGAAAAGGACATTATTGATTTTAACACGCTGTGGACAATTAGCTTGCAATCTTGATACGTGATTCTGATTGTGTATAATTTTGTACATTCTTACTAAACAGGGAAAATATATAAGTGTCCATCAAACATTATTTCATTTTACAAATTGGAACATTTAGGATACATACTTTAAAAACAGGACTAGGAATAAGCAAATGTTAAAGATACTGGATAAGTTTCAAATTTATATCCATATGGTAGAAATTCTAATTGAAATAGTGTCAGCAGAATTGCCGTATGTTTGTCCTCAGTCTCGTATGCTGCAGAATAAAAAAAATAATGTCTTATTTAAATAGATAATCGGTGATCATAACAAAATGCATCTATCTGATTTGTAAATAAGAATTATATATATTTTAGATTTCTATATTTGTAAAGTTATTTTGACAAAAGATATATTTTCCTTAGACATTCTACGAGGTAATATTATTAGATAGCTATTTTTGCTGAATTAGACATTATTTTCATTGTGACGTTTCATTGGAGAATTTATGACCATATGTCGACAATATATTGACTAAAATCACCTGAATGTATTACCTCACAACATAAATATATTAAAAGGAGTTAGTTAAAGACAATAGATTTATATTTGTTGTAACCTTCTGTACAAGGATAGAGAAGTAATAGTACAGTACAGCTAATGAATTTGTTAGTACACATTTACCAGGGCCTCAGGGCAGAATCGTAATTGTTTATGCCAAAGGGGTGTTCAGTCATAATTAACAAACTGTCTGAAACCTTTGACATGTGTGTTAAATTGTGCAAATGTTGCACATAAGGATTTGATATCTTTTTTGGACCTAGAGAAACATCTCGGTGGATTGGAAAAAGAACAGGATTTTGTCACTGAAGCTGGAAATTATAACTAATCCATTACGTCTTTTTAAACCTTTAAATTTGGCTGACGAAACAATTTTGCTGGAAAGTAATATTTTTTCTTGCCAAGATTCTAAGAAAAAATTGGACACTTTACAGTTAGAATTCAGCATTTACATGTATCGGAGACGTCCTTGTATTTTATAAACAGCTGATTAATTGATTTTTAGTGGAGGATTATCTATAGGTAGATTGTTATCATTACTTACTATAACATTGTGTGTTATCTGTGAACAAAAGGGGAGCATGACCACTTGTGTTAGGAAATGGAGATATCACGAAATTTCTTAATCAACTGGTGATAAAGATATTCCTGGTGGTTGATTAAGGTCCCCGATAAAAATACCACAACACGTGACTTAAATATTATGACAAGCAGCAGACATCGGTGACTTAAGACAGCTGGACAGGTGTCATGAGAATGTAATGTTAATATCTCTCAACTTGTGAACTCGTAAAATAGGATTTCAATCATTTTAAGGAATTTTTTAGACTTGGAAAAAAGACCTCGATAAAATTCTGGTGGTATTTTTCAATTTCATTTCCCTGTCCATTTAGAATATTTATGCGCTTTTTTCTGAAACATGCAGGGAATGATTGATTTTGACGATTGCAATTTCCTGAAAAACGAAAGAATTGTGCGATTGGTCATAATTTGAGAAGGAAACTACTTGTAGTGAAACTAAATGTAACATTTGTTGTGAAATGTTCAGTAATTAATATTTTTACAGGGAAAATTAAAGCGATGACTATTGAAAAATTGCACATTACAAATAGAGCTGTGCATGACAAATTAATAATAGCAAAAGGGGATTTTCAGACTGTTAATTGATATATACTGTAATTATTTGAATCATTGTTGATGAGATTATATAGTTAAACTGTTTGGAAAAAAAAGTTTTGAGATTTTTCTCATGTTTTTGTATCTATATTTCAAAAGGAAGTGTATAGATAGATAATGGGATTGACTTAAGATGATATTTGTTGGAATATGATTTCTATCAAGGTGGAATTTCTCAATCCATTGTGAAAATATAAAAAAAAAATTGTGAAAAATCAAAGCTTCATATACTTTTACCTTCATTGTCTTGAGTAAAAGACAGAATTCGTGTCGACCTTGGAAGTATAACACTCCCTTTGAGATAGGAGTCCACAGCTATAAATGAAAGAAAGAGAACTAATAAAAGAAAATACTGAATTGTTCGCAAATTTTATCATTTCTAAAACTTTACAGATTTCATAGAAAATTGACTATTGAAAAGTATTTGAAAAAAAAACTGAATAATTATCTTAGTTGCCATAGAAATCTGGAAAAGAACTTTTGAAAAGATTGACAGCTTTTAACATAAGAGAAAATCTGTGCTGCATAATAGTGAAATATGGAACATACAGCTTGACATAAGTCAAATTCAATTTTTTATGAGAGACTGCAAAGCGAGTTGCATGGATCCATTATAAATGCTTCCCGGCGATGTATACTATTACTCTACCAACTCCTATGTCCTGTGTGTTAAGCAAAATAACCATGATCAGTCTGAACCTACAGAAGAGGTCAAGGTCAAGGTAACTTTTCTTTATCATATTTTCCTTGGGACTCCCAACAATAATTTTTCTTTTGATGACAGATGTTCATGGGTTAAAAAAGTGTCTGCCCAAGGTTCATGATGTCTTAATGTTGTATGCTTGATTTTGAGTTTCGTCAATAGTTTTATATTTTACTTTCTATGTATTTTTGTATATTCAGTTGTCTTAATAAAATAATAAATGAAAACTTTAATAGTTTTATGGAGGTTAAACATTTGTGTCATCACACATGTGCGACTGAATAATTGGTAGAGAAAAGACATATTAAATCAAAAAGAAAATTTCATGATCTGGAACCTTTAGACACGATTTGATCCTTACTATGACTAGCAGAATTATGACTAGACTACAGTTCAGGTCAATCTCTTTTAGGGGAGGTGTTGTAGTATGTTTAGTAGGCATGGACTAATCTTGGCAGGAAAGCATCCTCCATTTCGTGAAATTTGTCATTGTAAGTTGTGAGGATGTAAAAAATACCTTCCGAACTTGAAAAGGGGAGGGGTGGGGGGATAATAGACATATGAATCTCTTTTCTGTTTTATGACTTATTTGGAATTAAACAGATACATTTGTAGAAAGGATCTGTATTACTGTAAATATAGGAATAGGGTTAATGTACTTTAAATCATACATTTTGCATCTTGTGAAAGTTCAAGCTTTCTAAATATGGTTGCATAAAGGCATTTTTGAGGTTGATTGGATTGTTTTGTAATTAAATACAACCTGTTACTTTCATTAGCTTAGACAAGTAACAGGATTACAATTTGATCAACTTAAAGCTGTTTGTGGGGGAGGAAAAAGGAGACATATTGATTTAAGTCTATTTATGAAATTATTGATTTCCTTGTCTTAGAAAGATACATATCTACTTAAAAAAGAACCACTAAAAAATATAGCTGATTATGTTGAGAAATTTGTCTTTATAAAGAAATACTCAGATGATGACAAATAAGGGTTTGAGGAGATGACATTTAGAAGAAAAGGGGTTTTTTGAAGAATTATTAATTAGAGATTTAAAACATGTAATTCCCACAACCACAGAGTGGTGTGAATTTTTTAAAAAAGGAGGGTCAGTCTTAAAAAGTCTTCTCACTGCACAATGTATGCCATAAACTTTTCTGTTTATTTTTAGGTAAATTGTCAACAATAGGTCCTTAAATCAGCCTGCTCCTTTAAGTTATTAAAAAATTGAATTTTGAATAAGGAAATTGTATTCTTGGTTCGAAGTTGGCATCAGCAGATCTAGAGGGTGATTGATAAATAAACCCCCTTATGTGTACTATGTGTAATGTATTTATATATACATGTATATTACATATGTTACAAGTCATACACTAAAACATGTTTTGGTAAATTGTATTGATTTTATTGATGTACACGAGAAATATTCTAACAAACATGATATGTCTAACCTGTTGTCTGCTATCATTGTTGACAAAAAACTTGTAAGCTAACATATTGCAAGGAGAAGTCAGATTTTGTTTCTGAAATAGAAAATGTGATATCCATGTTAATTGTTTAATGTTTTATTATGCAATATTAGTATAAAGTCTTAGTCGTCAATAAAAGGAGATGTAAAACACATGACACAAAAACTAGTTGACATCTAGAGGTCAATATACATGTACTAACCTGAACACATGTCTATTTATTTCTTGTATACAAGTCGTCGGTTTTCAATGACATTTAAATTATTCTCAAGGACGTTTTGTTTGATTTTTTAAAAACAGAACCTTCTTCTGCTTAAAATACTATTTCAAGAAACTTGTAGGTAAAAATGTATATGTACCTGGTTTGTGTGTATTTTATAACCCCCTTACCCTTACCCCTGTCTCATACATTGTTTTTAGTTCCGACTTAAAATTTATATTGCTCAATTTTGGAATATGTGGTAGACTACAAAAAGTACAGGACACACATGATGAGAAATCTATTTTCTCAAATTGTTAGTCTTCAGAGTACCAGTGGAAGGTTTGTGGTTTTTCCAGAGACTTAAAAATTGAGGCATTGAAATATCCTTAACTGTTCTGTAATGGCATGTTTTGTTATTTTGATGCTCTTGAATCTTATTTATTTATCTTATCATTATTTTAGTAGGGAGGCAACCCTGTCTTGCTTTGCCATATTTTTGACAATGTTAAGACTCGGTGTTCCTTGTTCCCTTTGTCTTGACCTTTGTTTATTTAAACTCTTTTTTTTTGTTACAGAAGCCAGGATTAAACCCGAATGCTACAGTCTACAAACCTGCTGATGTCCAGTGGGATGTTAATGTTAACGGTAAGTTTGATTCTGTTAATGTTAACGGTAAGTTTGATTCATACTGTTTAGTAGGTCATGTTTATGATCAACTATTTCATCAGTGTTGATACTTTTGCCAAAAAAAAAGGCAAAATTCGATAAAAGATCTAGTAATTGTGAGGGCAGTTTTCATTGATTTAGTGATTTGCTGAAACCATGAAATCTTATTAAGACATTAAACTTGTAAAGTACATACATAATCAAATCTATACAGCTGACAACTGGCTCAACAGCCCTGTCCTGTTAGATGTCATGGGAACACATTGATACTCAGTGTCAAGGTCACAACTGAACTCTAAGATACTACTGTTCTCTGGATTTTTTGTGACCTAGCAACCAAATATCATTACTAAGCAATAAAAAAGAAATCATACACAGATGAACATTGTCTCTGAGTTCTCTAATTGAGGAGGTTGTGGGTTAATCCATGGCTTGGTCAAACGAAGGACTTGAAAATTGGCATTTGCTGCTTCTACGTTTGGCACACAGCATTTATAAACTAGACAATAGACTGGTTGGTTAAGAGTCAGAATAATGTGACTTGTTAGGCCGACATTTTTTTCTGCGCACTCTTTGAACTATCATATTAAAAATCTGACTCAGATAGTCTGTCAAGTACAAAGCAGGGCTAATATTCATATTGCTTTAATTTAAACACCAATTCATTATCATTAACATACAGGTCAATATTAGATGTTTTATGAGGCCACCCTTAGAAAATTCTTTTTTTTTGGCGAACAGCACAAGTATGTTTAAGACAAGAATACGATGTTAGAACAGGAAAGAATCTTTTTAAAAAAATTTGAACAATTTGTGTTATAAATTAACATTGTTTTTCTGTTTACTTTTTAACTGTAAAAGGTAGGATGAATACTACTTGAGAATTCTAAGCTTTATTTCTCTGAATTTGATTTTTGTAGAATATCAATATACAAATGGAGATTTAGGGAAAGGTGAGGGAGGGGCGCTGACTCCAACACAGACACCCCTCCCAGAGGTTCCTTTGGACAATGCTATGGGATATCCTTATGAGCCAAACCACAGTATAGGTAAGTAAAAGGATGGTCAATGATGGCTGCCGAGACCCAGCTTTTGAAATAAGAGCTATACCACAGGCATTCCATGGCAACCAGATTTAAAACAAGGCAAGCTTAGTCTAATTCAACTTGCCCGCAGGCCAGCTAATTCCATTTATTTATACCATTTAAAGGGCAAAATACATAACGTCCTAATTTATTTAGCCCTGGAGACCCACCTCTGTGATTACAATTTACAACCAAAAAATGTTTATTACAGTTTAATCATTGGATATTAATTTATCGAGGGCAACCATTCCCTGTAAGATGTTCTTTATCTGATAACCGGAAATTCAAGATCATAGGTTCTCTCTCTACAGATACTAGAAATGATATGTATAATTCTCTAATTCTTCGGTAAGTCAAGTTACTGCTCACTGCCTTGCAAAATGTTTTTCTCGCAATGATTTTGTAGATCTGAAACTCGTGTAACTTTCTCATAGCCATGATAGCGTTAACCTTAGTTTTTGGTTAAACAATTTGGATTGAAGAACACAACACTATTGTCATCCGTTCTTGATGAAATTGAAATGGCCAGCTTAAACGATAATTGGTTAACTGGAACAAACTTTTTTGTGGTTTTTGTTTGTTTACTGTTCAGCTGCAAATACTCATTAACAATGCTCAATTTTGTGAAAAGAACTCAGACTTCTTCATGTAGACATGGTTAAAATATTTTTTAAAAATTAAACAAAATGTCTTTAAATGAGTTGAATAAACTTGTATTCTAAAATTCACAAATATGTTTTAAGTAATTTTATTAAACTTCATTTTAATGCATTTTAGAAGTTAACAAATGTCTATCAGGGAGTTAATAAAACTTAATTTAAAATGTTCTTTTGAAATTAAAAAAAATGGCCATACATTATACGTAGTTGACTAAACAGGGTTTGAATGTACTGTAGAAAATGTCATTATTAATTACACTATTTTACCATGAATGTCTGGTATGAACTAAGTCAAGGTTTAAAAGATTTATATTGTGCCTGATTTCTATAATCTCTACATGTTTTATGAAAATTTACATTCATTTTGTCAGCAGATTTTAGCGTTGAATCTAAAGGGACTTGTAATTTATTGTCATCATTTTAATGAAATGATACCATCAGACTAAGGAAAGTTGTAGTTCTCGTAATAAATTTGAATCCCTGTAGAGCTATTAATCATTAACAGAATGTTCAATACAGATTGATTATTATATTGTGGGTATTGTTCCAACACTTTGAAATCAGGATGGAAAGTTAAGGGCATGTAATGGGGAAGTGACAGGATTTATTTTAACACTTCGTGATAAATTAAGTATTATCTGTAAAATTGCATTTTAGCCGAATTAGCAAATTTGACTCTTGACAGACTGTGAGACAAGTCAGAATTAGCACTTAGCCTTGGGTCGCTTAAAATTGAAATTCTAAATTGCTCGTCTATGAAAAGTTATGAAAGTTTAGTGCAATTAAATTTTTTTATTACATTTGGATATGAATAGCAATACTATGTTAGACAGTCGAAATAATTTTCCTTTTTTATTTAAAGTAAAATTCATTTATTGATATACTTTAAGAATTTAAAAATTATTCTTTGTCTTCAATGTTACCCATACTGACTATACCATGATTGATGAGCAATTAGTTTCAATTGCCAATATGATTAATTTACATATCAAAATAGTCGCTCAAATATGATTGGTCAGTTTTTCAAAAGCCAAATATGATAACAGCATTAAGACTGTATGTTGAATCCAGGGAAGACAACATGAGTTAGCCACTTTGGGCAGGTGTGAAAAATTGTTGTACAGCAGTCTTTGTGCTCAACCACAGGCCAACCAGCCCACGCTTGTTAAATTGATGTCAGGCCTGTTGAAATCATTTCTACAGGCCAATAGAATCTAACTAATTTTTTTGTAAATATCAGCTTCGGGCCTGTAGATTCTAAAGTATATCGTGAAGACTGATACAAGTATTAGATATTTGCAGATTTGGCAATGGCTAGACTTATAATTACCCCTTGTTGTTTACTCTGACTGTCTTGGTTTATTTAATCCTATTTTATGTTTTATTCATGCTGAATTATGGTGAAATTTGTTCTGTGTCTTCTGCATGTAGCAAAAACTTGGATTTAAATTTTTTTTTTAAATGCATCAAATTGATTATATTATATTTTGTTACTTACACACATTTAAAAGAGGAGTTACAGTGAATACTTACATATATATATATTACAGATAATGAAGAAGACCCGTCACCAGAATTGGATGGTGAAGCTCGCAAACGACAAATGATAAAAACACAACTAGAGGCTTGTCTGTCGAGGTATGATTTTGCTGATTTTAAACATCAGCACTAATTCTATGTACAAATGTAGAGAGATAATAAAAATGTTCAGGTTGGTCTGATTTATGCAGATGTGTTGCTCTGTTTATAACAGTAATAATCTATTCACAAAAGAATTAGCTGTGTAAGTTTTATTCCAGTAAACAAAAAGTAGAATTTCTGAACATCTAGTACAAATAATTACCAGCTGACCAGTTAAATATGATATAGATTTGCCATGAACAGATTTGCCTTTTATGCATATTGGCTTGATGAAGAATAGTTATCTGATTATTTACTGCTGAACAATTAGAAACCCTTTCTTGGGGAAAATATTTTTAAAATTACTTCATCCCACTTGTCCTATCAGGCTAGTAATTGTTGGGCTAAACTAGTATTATTCATAGAAAAACAAATCATGTGTTTATCAAGTTTAATACGAGTAGTTATATGAATGATAGAATCGTTCTACAAATTGTGTAATCAGTTGCTAGGCAACAGTAAAGAGCTCCTTGATAACTGGTGTTGCATCATTCATTGCAGAGAAAATCTAGCAAGTGATAGATATCTACAGTCACAGATGGATGCTGATCAGTATGTTCCCATAGCAACAGTTGCCCAGTTAGACCAGATATCACAGTTGACAAAGGACCTTGAACTTATAGTTGATTTAATCAAAGGTTAGTATTGATAGTCCTGTGGTGGTACTATTTTTTAATTCCCAGTCTACAATAGTGGAGGGCACTGTGTTCTCCAGTCTGCGTGTTCTTTTGTCCTATATCAGGTACAAGTTTTTGTTCAAGGCTGTTAATCATGAAGTTGTAGTCCCATCAACTTAAAACTCGGACACTGGTTCAGACTATGTTATTTATAGTATCGAATAGTCCGAAGGTTTTGACCATTAAAATTTTGCACAGGACTGACACACAATTATGGTATTTTTGTAATAGAAATAATAGTGAGGACCAGCAGATTTTCTTTAAGGACCCCGAGGGAAAAAAGTTTAAAAAATTTGTGGTCGTATATTGGTATGACGTTGGCAGCGTCGTCGTCGTCCAAAGACACCTTGGTTTTCGCACAATAACTTTAGTTTAAGTGAATGGATCTCTATGAAATTTTACCATAAGGTTCAATACCACAAAAGGAAGGTTGGGATTGATTTTGGGGGTTATGGTACCAACAGTTAAGGAATTAGGGGCCAAAAATAAGCATTTTTGTAACTTCCAGACAAAAACTTGTGTGTTAGTGTATGGATCTCTCTGACATTGTACCACAAGGTTCCATATCACAAAGGGAATGCTGGGATTGATTTTGGGGGTAATTGCCTCAAAATTTTAGGAATTGGGGGCAGAAAAAGGGGCAAAAAACAAGCATTTTTCTAGTTTCATCACAATAACTTGTGTGTAAGTGTATGGATCTTTCTGAAATTGTACTACAAGGTTCCATATGACAAAGGGAAAGCTGGAATTGAGTTTGGGGGTAATTGCCCAAAACGTTTAAGAATTTGGGGTCAAAAAGGGGCCAAAAAACAAGCATTTTTACAGTTTCCAGACAATAACTTGTGTTCAAGTGCATGGATCTCTCTGAAATTGTACTGCAAGGTACCATACCACAAAGGGAAGGCTGGGATTGATTTTGGGGGTGATGAATCATAAGGGGGTTCAAAAAATTGGGGGGGGGTTTCCTTTTTTTCCTTTTTTTTTTTTTGCTTTAAAATTTTCCATTTAAGTTGGTTATTTTTTATTTATATATAAAAGCAAATTATAATGATATGGTTTGATTTCATCAAAAATTGAAATATTGGGGTTCTTTGATATGCTGAATTTAACCGTGTATTTAGATTCTTAATTTTTGGTCCCGTTTTCAAATTGGTCTGCATTAAGTTCCAAAGGGTCCAAAATTAAACTTAGTTTGATTTTAACAAAAATTGAATTCTTTGGGTTCTTTGATATGCTGAATCTAACCGTGTATGTATTTAGATTTTGGATATTGGACCATAATAGGTAAATTAAAAAAAAATTAAGTTCTTAGACCACATTCATTCTGTGTCAGAAACCTATGCTGTGTCAAATATTTAATCACAATCCAAATTCGAAGCTGTATCAAGCTTGAATGTTGTGTCCATACTTGCCCCCACTGTTCAGGGTTCGACCTCTGCGGTCGTATCAAGCTGCGCCCAGCAGAGCATTTTATTCTCTTGTGACATCAAACTGGTTTGAAATCAAAAAATCTAAATTCTCCATTCTATGGATCTTCATTTCCACTGTGAAGCAAACAAAACAATTCTTCAAATACAGACCCTCATTCTCTCAGCCAAGAACAAGCATGAGCAATGTTGATTTAACCATTTAAAACAAGTTTGAATGGTTCAGTCTGTTTAGGGTTTGAATGATCTAAGCTCAAGAGAAAAGGGCATGGAGAGTTGTAAATTATAGACCTTATAATGGTTCTATATAGAGTGAGGTTTAACAGAAATCTTCCTGCAACATGTAGTAAAAGCTTTACAATAATGTCCCTCACATATCAGGTTAGTTTTGGTTTAAGGTAGTTTGAAACTTTGTTTACATGGTCATTACATTCCATATAAGGATTTTGACCCAGATTCCCAGAATTTTCTTCATTGAACATATGGAAATATGATGGTGTGAGATGACCACGGTGTTAACAAACATGTTTTTGTTCTCAGTGTAAGATACTATTTTGTAATTCAAGTTGTCCAGTTTAATGAAAACACTGGAATAACATTATGTTCTACTGTAATAAGTATTCTTAAGTTTGTAATTTGTTTTAGTAATATAAACCTAATTTTTCAATTTGTTTCTATTTAGAATTGCCTAATGTCCAAGTGCATGAAGATGGAGAAAAATGCAGACCTAACCACAACAGGTGTACAGTCATTCTGAGAGAAATTCCAGACGACACACCTCTGGACGTAAGTTAATGCTCAGGATTTTAGACAAGAAACTCTGACATGTTGGCCCTAAGGAAATTGAAATGTTATAGAATTGAAATAAGTTGGTTTATTCAAATCTGAGTATACAGATTATTTATTTGTCAAACAGTTTTCATGCAAGTGGTCAGTTCTTTCTTTTTGTCAAGAGCTAATAATTTATTTTTTTTAAGAACACATGACTGGTTAGTTGTACAAAGGTTATATAAGGTAAAACTGTGCACATTAAAACACACTAGTAGTGTTCAAAATTGGGAATTTCCAAACAAATATAAGTATTCAACCTGATAGTCACTATGCACACACATTTTTAAAAATTTAAGTTTAAAATGAGCTGAAGAATAGATCTATGTTTACAGTAATTTAACCATCTTTTAGCTGACATTTTACCTATGTTAAATATTGCGAAAGTATTCAAATCTTGTAAATCGATTAGGAAAAGACAAATCATGGTAACAAACTGGGGGCATCGTGTGAACTAAAGGAGCTAGACTTTTTTTGTGTACACCAGACATGGTTTAGATAATATAATTTGATTATACATGCACTATTTGTTTCGTCAACAGGATGTGAAGGGACTATTTGCCAGTGAGAAATGTCCTAAGTTTGCTAGCTGTGAATTTGCTCACAACAGTAACTGGTTTGTGACATTTGAGTCGGATGCTGATGCCCAGAGTGCCTACCAGTATTTGAGAGAGGAGGTTAAAACTTTCCTTGGCAAACCTATTATGGTATGTCAAATTCTGCTACTCAAAAATTTGTCACCTTTTTATGTAGACTTTTTATTTTCTGAAGGTTACGTGTATCATGGGGAAAATCAGAACCTTTTTCTTTTTAACACTTTCAAAGGGTAGCCATTTTGATTTAATGAAGCAAAAACATTCTTAAAATTAAAGATTTAAATTGTACAAATATACAAAGACTTCTTTTTTTTTAAAGATTTTAATTGAATTTTGAATTGAGAAACTCCCAATGAAATGTCCATTTTTATCTCCAGGATCATTCCTGATACATATGTTGATATTTTTGTAGGCAAGAATAAAAGCTAAACCTCTGATTAAAAATACATATCCAAGGAATGGTTACAACCGTTACCAACAAAATCAACAGCAGCAGCAGCAACAACAACAGCAACAGCAGCAGCAGCAGTTGATTCAGCAACCACAACAACAGCAGGCTCAACAGCAACAACAACAACAACCGACAGAGGGACAAGGACCACAACAAACACCACAGTTTCAAGTGCAACCCCAAGTCTCATTAATGTCAAATATGTCAAATATACCTAACTATAGTCAGCAGGTAAGTTAACTAAACCCCAAGTCTCATTAATGTCAAATATGTCAAATATACCTAACTATAGTCAGCAGGTAAGTTAACTAAACCCCAAGTCTCATTAATGTCAAATATGTCAAATTTACCGAACTATAGTCAGCAGGTAAGTTAACTAAACCCCAAGTCTCATTAATGTCAAATATGTCAAATATACAGAACTATAGTCAGCAGGTAAGTTACTATCAAATATACCTAACTATAGTCAGCAGGTAAGTTACTATCAAATATACCTAACTATAGTCAGCAGGTAAGTTACTATCAAATATACCTAACTATAGTCAGCAGGTAAGTTAACTAAACCCCAAGTCTCATTAATGTCAAATATATCAAATATACCTAACTATAGTCAGCAGGTAAGTTACTATCAAATATACGTAACTATAGTCAGCAGGTAAGTTACTATCAAATATACCTAACTATAGTCAGCAGGTAAGTTAACTAAACCCCAAGTCTCATTAATGTCAAATATATCATATATACCTAACTATAGTCAGCAGGTAAGTTACTATCAAATATACCTAACTATAGTCAGCAGGTAAGTTAACTAAACCCCAAGTCTCATTAATGTCAAATATGTCAAATATACCTAACTATAGTCAGCAGGTTAGTTAACTAAACCCCAAGTCTCATTAATGTCAAATATACCTAACTATAGGTTGCACTTCTTAAATATAGACAATGCATTTTCCCATAGGAACTCTTTTTACTGCTAAAACTGTGACACTTTTACTATGAAGGTTCGTAAAAAATTATATCCTAGAATGTAAAGTTCATATGCACTACCATTTTTTTCAATGGTCAAAATATAGGGCTGTGTGGCATATTTTCAACATTTATATGCCTCGAACTTCTAACAGTTCAAACTTGTACTAAAATTCTGTACTACCCCTCCCTTCACTTTGGGTCTTCCTCAGAATTTAATTTGACCACTATCCATTTGTATTTATACTGGTAAAATTCCCAAGTTATGTCTCTATGAGATGAAACATAAGGATCATATCTGGGAACCAGTAGGTAAACAAACAAAATATCTATGAATATTATATATCTCCCCAAAAAGAGGTGTGGTTTGTGAAACAGCTGTATTTACAAAGTGTAACCTATAGTCAGCAAGTCAGTTAACCATTTAACTACAGTCAACTAAAACTTGTAAGAACACCCACTATACATTCATTAAGTCAGAAATCAAGTCATCTACTTGAATGTCAAGTTAAAACTGTTGAAATAGAAGATTTTATCCCCCTTTTTTGAAAATTACTTTAGTTTACAAACATACCCATGCCACAGCAAAGTAATAGTAGAAAGGAATATATAAATATGTTAAATTGTCCGGATTTTATTTTTTGCTGCTATCTGACATGGATGCACCAAATGTATTACACTATAAAATCATTGATCAAAATTATCTTGATGGAAATTTAAATCTTAGATTCTCAACATTGCTTCCAGATACAAATTTTTAGTTACTGTGGATTCATTTATCATGTGGATACCAATTTTCGTGGATTGAGGAGAAATTGTATTTTCGTGAATATTTGATTTTGTGGTGTTGTCAAAGTCTGCATCCATGCCTATAGAATATTTGGACTTTATTGAACCTTAAAACTCATGGTTTACCTATACCCAAGAAATCAACTAAAATTGGTATCCCACGAATAATAATGAATCCACAGTACTTTAGGTTTGGTAGGGTCAGATGATACTAGGCTTCAGTGATAGGCTCTGGTCGCTATTTTCATATTTGCTTTTAGTTTTTTGTTTTGTACATAAATCAGGGCGTTGGTTTTTTTCGCTTGGATTGTTTGATAGTCTTTGGTCGCTGTTTTAATATTTGCTTTAAGTTTTTTGTTTTCGCTTGGATTGTTTTACATTTGGTCATTTCTGGGTTTTAAAGCACGGTAAAGGTTTTGCTCATTGGTGAAGGTCGCATGGCGTCCTATAGTTGATTACATCTATTTCATTTATTCTCTGGTGGATATTAGTCTCATTGTCAATTATACAGGCACATTTTTATTTTTTATAATATATTTTGATAGGCCAATGAATTAGTCCAAAAAAAATATATTCCAGCAAAAAAGTGTCAAAAGAGGCAGTTCCGTTAAAATTTAAAAAATGTATGCATTAACAAGTATTTTTTTCTGAATATGCCTGAAATATTTGCCATTGGAAAACAATGAATGATTTTCTCATTTCAGGCATTACCATTCTTTCCAAATCCCAACTTGATACAGTGGCAATCTAGTCCAATATTGGATCCAAGCATGGTAAGAGAACATGCTAATTATCAACTTGGGGTAATTTTTGCTAATCTTTTTAATACAATCTGATTGAAATGCAGAACCTGTGTATACGCTTCTCTTACAAAGATCTGACAATGCTCTGTTCTACTTTCTGTTGTAGCAGATCTTTCGGGATCCTTTGGTTTTGTCCTAATGATACTCACCTTCAACTTTTGGGAACCTCTGTCTTTGACCTTCAAAATTTTGAAGGCTGAAATTTCATTGGCTGGTGTGATTATTACCAGAACAGAAAGTAGAACAGAGTGTTGATAGATACTTGTTAGAAAAGTGTAGACACAGGATCTGTTTTTTAATCAGATTGTTTTTAATATTGCAGTTAAGTTTTTAGCACACCAGACAATACAATTATTCCAATAATCAGCTTGAAAAATTGGCTTTTGTTTAAATGCTTGTATGAACTGAAAAGTTTCATGGCAGTTTGATTTCACTGTATAACTTGATAAAGAGAGAGAAAAAAATCAGACAAGAAGTTACAATAGTAACACAGAACATGAAAAAAACAAAAAAAGAGTGAAAAAAGGTAACAGAATTAAATAGAAAGAATAGTGCAGATAATAGGAATTGGAGACCATGGTATATAAAAAAAAATGCACAACAGAAGGAAAACATGTACAATTTTCTATATTCATCATTTGCAAAGATCTCAAAATAAACACCACTAGAAATTAAATTTTCATTGAAAATAAGTATTTTTTAGTATAAATGAAATGAAATATATTATTAGTACTATTTGTAAACTTTTTTAAAGTGTGAATATTCACAAAGGTGTGAAACAATGGTTTGTCAATAATAATTAACATCTACATCATTCTATTAAAATGAATATTAGATTATTTATGTGTTGAAAATACTCATTTTAAGATCCATCAATTTTGCACTTCATTTTGAATATGCCGTCTGACAAATTTTGATTTTATTGTAGGTGCTAGCTATTAACGGTTACCAGGCAACAAGTGTTAAGTTGAACACACAACCAAGAACTCCATTTGGAAATCTAAATAGAAATAAGTATGTTGTTTCCTTAAGATTGATGTAAATTCCTAATTATTTAGTTGGTCAGTTTTTATAAATACTGTAAATTCAGAAATTTCTACATGTATTTATTATGATTGTTGAACATTGGTTAAAAAAGTGAGATGAAATATTACGATTCAAGAAAGTGCTGCATAGAAATAATGCTATAAAAATGTAAATGTGAGTTTTTAATGATGCAAAACCTGTCCTTTTACAGTTTTCGCATTAGGGCTGTTTGCAAATTGATTGTAGGGGTTGAGGGATGTTTTTGACTTCTGCTTAAAAATGTAATTTCAATGACTGCTTAAAATTTTGCAGTCGGAATCCGAGACAGAATAATCGCCTTGGTAACCAGGACAGAGGTCCTTTAGACAACCGCCCTAGTCATGACCGACAACCACAAAGTCATCGCACAAGTCCACGGATGTCGGATAACCAACCGATCTCAGGTCATCACTCATACCAAAGTCAAAGTCGACGAACCCTGGACAATAATGCCAATCACAGTCACATGTCACCTATTATAGATAATAACAATATACCTGCAGGCAGACAATCGGAAATTCCAAGCAGGTAAGATGAGGATATGTTGTAGCAGGAGGTGTAATAAAAGCATTAGCTTCTGACAGGTTAAAGGATAGATTGTGATGTGTTAATCTAGAGTAAAAACTACAAAATTACTTATGTTGGTTGTTGTTGGAATTTGGAAGTCCCTTTCTCTCCTCCTCCATCCATTTTAATGGAATAGCCCTCTTAGGCCAAATAAAAATATATGTGTGGTTCCAGTTACCCAACCAACCCCGACCCTAGAACTTTTTTTCCATTTCTGAAAAATGAATTTTGAACCATCCTATTTTGTAGAATGTGAATTTCAATAATTAAATTCAGTCTACTGTCATCTGAATTTCCATTAGAAGTATGCACTATGGCTAAAAATACAACAAATTCTTAACAGAAGGCAACAAAATTAACTAAAAAACGTAACATGTCTGTTTATTTTACAACCAAACATATAGAAAAAAAATTAATCAAATAAAATATGTGTAGATCACAAATATCACGTGAGCTTGCTAACCCTTTTTATACGCGTATATTGGTATGACGTTGGCGTCATCGTCCAAAGACACATAGGTTTTCGCACTCTAACTTTAGTTTAAGTGAATGGATCTCTATAAAATTTTACCATAAGGTTCAATACCACAAAAGGAAGGTGGGGATTGATTTTGGGGGTTATGGTACCAACAGTTAAGGAATTAGGTGCCAAAAATAAGCATTTTTGTAACTTCCAGACATAACTTGTGTGTTAGTGTATGGATCTCTCTGACATTGTACCACAAGGTTCCATATCACAAAGGGAATGCTGGGATTGATTTTGGGGGTAATTGCCTCAAAATTTTAGGAATTAGGGGCCAAAAAAAGGGGCAAAAAACAAGCATTTTTCTTGTTCCATGACAATAACTTGTGTGTAAGTGTATGGATCTTTCTGAAATTGTACTACAAGGTTCCATATCACACAGGGAAAGCTGGAATTGAGTTTGGGGGTAATTGCCCAAAACGTTAAGGAATAAGGGGCCAAAAATAAGCATTTTTCTAGTTTCCAGACAATAACTTGTATTCAAGTGTATGGATCTCTCTGAAATTGTACTGCAAGGTTCCATACCACAAAGGGAAGGCTTGGATTGAGTTTGGGGGTGATGAATCATAAGGGGGTTCAAAAAATTGAGGGGGGGGGGGGATTTTTTTTTCTTTAAAATTTTCCATATTAAATTGGTTATTTCTGATTTATATATAAAAGCAAATAATAATGATATGGTTTGAATAGGTAAATTAAACATTTTTTAAGTTCTTAGACCACATTCATTCTGTGTCAGAAACCTATGCTGTGTCAAATATTTAATCACAATCCAAATTCAGAGCTGTATTAAGCTTGAATGTTGTGTCCATACTTGCCCCAACTGTTCAGGGTTCGACCTCTGCGATCGTATCAAGCTGCGCCCAGCGGAGCATTTTATTAAATTTAGCATTAGATGGAAACTATTAGTGATATTTTTTATTATCCCCCCACCACAGAAGAGGGGGCATTGTCACCCTTGTCCTTTCGTACATATGTACGTTCTGAAATTGGTTTCCATTCTCTAACTTTAGTTTGCCTCAACCAAATGTCATGAAACTTATACACAATGATTATTACCACAAAACTCAGATCAAGTTGCAATTTGGATGGCGTCACTTTTACTGTTCTTGAGTTATGTCCCTTTATAACGTTATAATAAAGTGGGGGCATCATCTGTGTCCCATGGACACATTCTCCATTTATTCAAACCTTTTAGTATATTTTCTTCTTACTTAAACTGTATGCATTAAAGTCCATGAGGAAGGAAAGGAAGAGAATTTTTTATTTTTGGACCATGCTTGTGGGTCATTTATGGTTGTATGTCCATTGATGCATGAAAAATTACTCAAATTCTGGTTTTTGATTGATTTAGGAAGTCCCTCCCACATCTATTTTAATGGAATAGCCTGTTAGATAAACTCGTTAGATAAACTGAACAAAATGTTGTCATAAGGTTTATCTTTTATTTTGTTAATTTGAAGTATCAATGTTTAATTTTAAAAGTAGTATTATCTAATGATGAATAAAACTCAAAAAATGAGATACTTCTATTTACATTGGTTTTTGTCAACAACAACAAAGGTTTTATGTAATTGAAGGTTAAGGGGGACTTGTTGGCTGAGTGGCCTTAAGTAGTTCATCTTCAGTTATCACTAGCCTGTAAACACTAAGGCTGCGAGTATGAACCCTGCAACTAGATGCTATGATAAAGCCAAAAGTGCTGAAATTAGCATTAAACATAGTTTGCTTATTGTTGAAGACTGTACAGTGACATATACATCCTCGTCCTTTGGTCTCTGGTGGATAGTTGTCTCCTTGGCAATCATATCACATCTTATGTTTTTGTATTTATTGGTAATTTTAAGTATCAATGATTAATTTACAAAGTAGTGGACTGATTATTTACTGATGAATAATCTCAAAAAATGAGATACTTCTATTTACATTGGTTTTTGTCAAGGTTTTATGTAATTGAAAGTTAAGGGGGACTTGGAGGCTGAGTGGCCTTAAGTAGTTCATCTTCAGTTATCGCTAGCCTGTAAACACTAAGGTTGTGAGTCGACCTTTCTTCATGGTGTTTTGGGTTCAACTCCGATCTTAATAGATGAGGATTTTCCTGCCAAAGGTAGTGGTTCTCTCTAAATACTCTAGCTTCCTCAAGCAGTAAAAACTGGCCGCCATGATATAGCCAATGGTACTTACAGAGCGTTAAATATCAACAAACAAACATGGTATGGCCATTGTTGAAGTGCCCTATAGTTAACATCCTTGCTCTTTGGTCTCTGTTGGATAGTTGTCTCACCTTCAATCATACCACATCTCTAATATGAAGTATCAATGATTAATTCACAAAGTAGTGGACTGATAATTTACTGATGAATAAACTAAAAAAATGAGATACTTCTATTTACAATTGTTTTGTCCCCCGAAAAAATCTTTGCTACAATTGCTTTATGCTTCATACAGTAGTAAAATGTAGTTGAGTTGAGGTGGCCTCAGTGGCTGAGTGGTCTATGTAGTTCATCTACAGTGATAACTAACCTATCAACACTAAGGCTGTGAGTTTGAACTCTGCTTGGGGCAATGTGCCTTTGGGTCTGTTCTTAATTGACAAAGATAGTCACTTTTCCTGCTGAAGTCTGTGGTTCTCTCTGCATACTCCAGCTTCCTCCACCATTAAAAACTAGATGCCATGATACTGCTATAAAGAGTGCTAAAAGAAGCATTAGTTTCTTGTGTATAATTTGGTGTTTAGTATGACGTCCATTATCACTGAACTAGTATACATATTTGTTTAGGGGCCAGCTGAAGGACGCCTCCCGGTGCGGGAGTTTCTCGCTGCATTGAAGACCCATTGGTGGCCTTCGGCTGTTGTCTCTTTGACACATTCCCCATTTCCATTCTCAATTTTATTATACATACAGTATGCTTACAGTCTGATGCCTCAGACTATTATAATTTTATTCGGACTAGTATTAAAGTATTTTCCAAAGTTTGTTTAGACACATAAGAATAATGTCAGAACATTGGTCTTCGGACCAGTAGTTGGAAAAGATTTTGGTGCAAACTGTGCTTATTGTTGAAGACTGTACAGTGACATATACATCCTCGTCCTTTGGTCTCTGGTGGCTAGTTGTCTCATTGGCAATCATATCATATCTTATGTTTTTGTATATATTTGTAATTTGAAGTATCAATGATTAATTTACAAAGTAGTGGACTGATTATTTACTGATGAATAATCTCAAAAAATGAGATACTTCTATTTACATTGGTTTTTGTCGAGCCTTCAACTTTAGTCGAAAAAGTGAGACATAGCGATCCTACATTCTGTCGGTGGCGACCACAAATATTCACTCTGTGGTTAAAGTTTTTGAAATTTTAATAACTTTCTTAAACTATCCTGGATTTCTACCAAACTTGGACAGAAGCTTGTTTATGATCATAAGATAGTATCCAGAAGTAAATTTTGTAAAAATAAAATTCCATTTTTTCCATATTTTACTTATAAATGGACTTAGTTTTTCTGCCGGGAAATATTACATTCACTCTGTGGTTAAAGTTTTTAAAATTTTAATAACTTTCTTAAACTATGTGGGTTTGAACCAAACTTGGACAGAAGCTTGTTTATGATCATAAGATAGTATCTAGAAGTAAATTTTGTAAAAAAATAAATCCATTTTTTCCTTATTTTACTTTTAAATGGACTTAGATTTTCTGCCAGGAAACAACATATTCACTCTGTGGTTAAAGTTTTTAAAATTTTAATAACTTTCTTATACTATTTTGGATTTTTACTAAACTTAGACAGAAGCTTGTTTATGATCAAATGTTAGTATCTAGAAGGAAATTTTGTTTTCTTCCAGTTAACATTACATTCAGTCTGCAGTTAAAGTTTTAAACATTTATTAGATTCATAAACTATCCTGTATTTTTACCAAACTTGGACAGAAGCTTCTTTCAATCAAAAGATAGTATCAAGAGGAATATTTTTATTGATTTACTTCCTCATTTTTGTTGAGCCAGGGATTAACAGAAAATGTAGGCGAGACACTGGGTTCCGTGGAACCCTTACAAATTTTTGTTAGGAAAAAATATTTTCTACAACTGCATTATGCCTCATCAGTGACATTGAAATTTTAAGAAAATTAAGAAGAAAATTGTTGTTATTCCTGTACATGCCAATGCAATTTCCAGTTTGCCCACTATTGAAGGACATTAATCATTTTCCCATAAATTTGTTGGATCACAGCAGAAAACATTTGACAGATCGAAAGGAAATCTTGACAAAATCATTGGATCAATATGGGCAATGTAAAAGTTGGCAGTGCTTGTCACAAAATCCTAGAAGTTGGGGTATAAAATAGAACAGGGATTTATCAGGTATTAGAATGTAATTTTATTAGATGTCCATAAAAGAAGGTGCCCTGCATTTATAATTAAATTGCTTTTTCAGATACAAAAGTAGAAGAAAGCCCCCAATAAATGGTGGTCCAGTAAGTATTGTTTAACATCTAGGTTTATAATATATAGCATTTTAATCAAATTTCAAGGTACAAACAGTGTAAAAGTTATGATTTAATCTGCCTGGACCAGGAATGAGTTGAGCTGAAAAAGAGTTCCTGATGTTCATTTGTTTGGAAGATAAAAAGTGCTTTGCTGGACTTAAAAAACTTTATACATAACATCATATCCATGACATGATTTTCTTTGTTTCATGCCCCCAAAGGCATTTAGATTTACCCTTTTTCTCTCCTCGTACAACCCCAAATTGGTTTCCGTTCTTTAACTTTAGTTTGCCTCAACCGAATGTTTTACACATTGCTTATTATCACCAAACACAGATGAAGTTCAAAATTGGGTGGCGTCAACTTAATTGCTCTCTAGTTCTGTCCCTTTATAAATGGAAAAATTGCTTGATTTACCGTTTTAGAACTAACTTTACTTTGCCTCAACCAAATGTTATGAAACTTATACACAACACTTATTATCACCAAACACATATCAAGATTAAGAACTGTTAGTATTATAGAGTTCAAGATTTAGAACTGTTTTGGTATAATAGAGTTCAAGATTTAGAACTATTTTGGTATTATATAGTTCAGATGGTCTTATCAAACATTCTCCTGTTATACAGTTAAGTGGTTTATTTTTTCGTGAAGCGTTCTCCTGTAATAATGATATTGTAAATTTTGAGATAAATAATTGTTTTAGGAGGTTTTAATGAAATGTTATTGTATTACTTTACAGAAATTAAATAATATGAAAGACAAGCCAGAACCTCAGTTTGACTTTGAAAGCAGCAATTTTCCTCCGTTAAGCGGGCCTGGTACCACAGTGAGTATTGTTCAAATAGAATAAGAAACTAGGAAAAAATACAGTAAAAACAAAAAGTAATTGTTTTAATAATCAATAACACATAAAAAAAATTATTTGGAACTTGTTTCAGGTCATTTATTCTGTTTTCATGTTTTTTTTTTTTTAATAGCATTTTGGTAGTTCTTTGAATATATACATCGTTTTGGAATTAAAAAAGCAATTCTATGGTAAACATGTTTTTTGTTGGGTATTTGATTTTATAGTAAATTACAAAATCAATAAAAATTGGTACTTTAGTTATTAAAAAATTTGTATTTAGTTGTATTAAATTGTATTGACATATACAAGTTAGAAGTTTGTGAATCCTAAAGAAACCATATAGAAACTTGGCAAGTAAATGGTTTTAAAGATTAATAATTTATTGAATATTTTTTTGGAAAGGCAATAAGTCTTTTAGGGTTGCAACCAAACTAGGGTTATTCTGGAGGCTGGTAGCAGACAAATTCTTTTTTGCTGTTGTTGCCATAAATGAACACTGAAGAACAATGACACTATGACAGTATTTAGTTATTTGCCACTAATTTATATCAATTTGCAGAATCTAAATATTAATGTACATTCTGCAACAAATCAAAACAAACTTTTTTGTATCATTGCTTGTTTTTAAAAACTGGCAAAAAAGGTTGTTTTAAATTTAAAAAAAAACTTACTTGTTGATTACAAAACCTAATTTGGTTCTTTTTTTTTTTTTATCTTACAGAGTGCTTCAACATCATCCACTTCTAATGAAGTGTTTGAGAGCAAACTTTCTGACGTTGTGAAAGGAACTGCCAAGCCACAGGCTAAACCTCAAACCAATGCATCCCAACCACAGCCTGTGAGTCCAGTAGCCCCACCGAGGCCAGCCACACCTCCTCAACCTCAGAAAGACCACTCTAATAATTCCAGTAGTGCTATAAATGGAACCTCTGCAATATCCTCCCAGAGTAGTACTCCAACGAGGGTTCCGTCGCCTCCACCTGTCTCTCCTCAAAAGTAAGTACATCTATTAATTAGATTTACAATATCCTCCCAGAGTAGTACTCCAACAAGGGTTCCGTCGCCTCCACCTGTCTCTCCTCAAATGTAAGTACATCTATTAATTAGACTTACAATATCCCAAACTGCAAAGTAACAGTGAAGTTTGTAATACAAGATTACTCTCTGAAATCGTTATTGAAAAGAATCATATCTAAAAGTAAGCAGAAAAAAAACTATGCCATCAGGTCAATATAAACATTTCCTCTTTATTGAAAGCGGGAAGTATATGAGCTTACTCGGGGGAAAAAAAGTATATGAGGGTTGGATACCACATGACAATGGGTAATAGGAGTGAAATAATTACAATTTTCTACAAGTGATTTTAAGAATTATGCTTTTATATGGGAGAAAACTCCATTAAAAAGCCATTCAGCTTTTTTTTTTATGTTATTTTTTATTTAATTATTTCATTTAAATAAAAGGAGATTCTAGGCATGTTCATTGTTGTAAAATCAGATTTATTATGCATTACCAGAAGTACAATGATTGAATTTTGAACCCCTCAAATAGAAAGCAATACTCTAAAGGAGGGGTATACTAGTTTATTCCTGTTAACCAAATACATATATATTTTTACACATTATGGCCATGTATGAAATTTCGGCTCACTATTCTCTGGAACAGAGCTTCCTGAAATTATTTATCTAGCTTCATGTCGGCATGCTTCCAGTGATACATTTTACATCCATTGCTCATAAACTTCCTGTTTACCAAATACTTAAAAAGAGGTGATACCGTTCAACTTGTTTTTCTTTGAATTTCAGGTCTCAAAAGACTACAATTGTTGAACCTCCTCAGCAACAGAAAGTAATTGAGGTTGTTCAGACACCTGTTAAAGTGACACCAGTCTCTTCAACACCAGTCAAAACGGTAAGCTTCATTTAAGGAAATACTGTTAACCAATTAACTTTCGCGACTTTCCAGCGTAGAAAAATAACAGGAATTTGAATCGTGACTAATATGTGAAACTTGGACTTTCCTTTATATAAATATATCAAGAAAATGAGATGGTCGTGAAAATAAATGGCTGAGAAGTTGGCTAGAGAAAATTAAAAACAAAAATAAGTTGGTTTACAGTAACAAGGACTATTCCATAAAAAATTCTACTTTGATTTTTGAAGATACTTTCTTCTGACCCCTATCACTGATATGGCTTCATTTTATTGGAAGTTTGTTAAGAATAGAAAACTGTATATGTATGGACTTGTAAGTGTGCAAGTTTTTTAGTTTTTTTTTTTGTTTTTTTTATACGACCGCAAAAAAATTTTTGTGGTCGTATATTGGTATGACGTTGGCGTCGTCGTCGTCGTCTCCGGCGTCGTCCGAAGACACATTGGTTTTCGCACTCTAACTTTAGTTTAAGTGAATGGATGTTTATGAAATTTCACCACAAGGTTCAATACCACAAAAGGAAGGTTGGGATTGATTTTGGGGGTTATGGTAATAACAGTAAAGGAATTAGGGGCCAAAAAGGGGCCAAAAATAAGCATTTTTGTAACTTCCAGACATAACTTGTGTGTTAGTGTATGGATCTCTCTGATATTGTACCACAAGGTTCCATATCACTAAAGGAATGCTGGGAATGATTTTGGGGGTAATTGCCTCCAAAGTTTAGGAATTAGGGGCCAAAAAAGGGGCAAAAAACAAGCATTTTTCTAGTTTCATGACAATAACTTGTGTGTAAGTGTATGGAACTTTCTGAAATTGTACTACAAGGTTCCATATCACAAAGGGAAAGCTGGGTTTGAGTTTGGGGGTAATTGCCCTAAACGTTTAGGAATTTGGGGCCAAAAAGGGGCCAAAAAACACATTTTTTTTCTAGTTTCCAGACAATAACTTGTGTTCAAGTGTATGGATCTCTCTGAAATTGTACTGCAAGGTACCATACCACAAAGGGAAGGCTGGGATTGAGTTTGGGGGTGATGAATCATAATGGGGGTTCAAAAAATTTTTGGGGGGGGGATTTATTTTTTTTTCCTTTTTTTTCTTTTTTTCCTTTTTTGTTTCTTTTAAAATTTTCCATTTTAAGTTGGTTATTTCTGATTTATATTTAAAATCAAATAATAATGATATGGTAGGAGATACACACCAAACAGGATGTGTAAATTATTATATAATAAGTATTGTGCAATAGCAAGAAATTTTCAATTGCACAGTATTGCACAATAGCAAGAAATCTTCAATTGCACAGTATTGCGCAATAGCAAGAAATCTTCAATTGCACAGTATTGCGCAATAGCAAGAAATATCCAATAGCACAATATTGCGCAATAGCAAGAAATTGTCAATTGTACAGTATTGCGCAATAGCAAGAAATATTTAATAGCACAGGATTGTGCAAAAGAAGATACTTCCTATAAATTGCTTATTTCTTGACCAATTTCAATGGGGTTTTATTCTTGATTTCATGGGGTTCTTTAATATGCTGAATCTAACCGTGTATTTAGTTTTTGGATTTTGGGCCCCGTTTTTAAATTGGTCCACATTGAGGTCCAAAGGGTCCAAAATTAAACTTTGTTTGATTTCATCAAAAATTGAATTATTGGGGTTCTTTGATATGCCGAATCTAACTGTGTATTTAGATTCTTAAATTTTGGTTCCGTTTTCAAATTGGTCTACATTAAGGTCCAAAGGGTCCAAAATTAAACTTAGTTTGATTTTAACAAAAATTGAATTCTTAGGGTTCTTTGATATGCTGAATCTAAACATGTATTTAGATTTTTGATTATGGGCCCAGTTTTCAAGTTGGTCCAAATCGGGGTCCAAAATTAAACTTTGTTTGATTTCAACAAAAATTGAATATATGAGGTTCTTTGATATGCTGAATCTAACCATGTATTTAGATTTTTTATTTTTGGGCCCCGTTATCAACTTTGTCCACATTGAGGTCAAAAGGGTCCAAAATTAAACTTTGTTTGATTTCATCAAAAATTGAATTATTGGGGTTCTTTGATATGCCGAATCTAACCGTGTATTTAGATTCTTAATTTTTGGTTCCGTTTTCAAATTGGTCTACATTAAGGTCCAAAGGGTCCAAAATTAAACTTAGTTTGATTTTAACAAAAATTGAATTCTTAGGGTTCTTTGATATGCTGAATCTAAACATGTATTTAGATTTTTGATTATGGGCCCAGTTTTCAAGTTGGTCCAAATCGGGGTCCAAAATTAAACTTTGTTTGATTTCAACAAAAATTGAATATATGGGGTTCTTTGATATGCTGAATCTAACCATGTATTTAGATTTTTGATTTTTGGGCCCCGTTATCAACTTTGTCCACATTGAGGTCAAAAGGGTCCAAAATTAAACTTTGTTTGATTTCATCAAAAATTGAATTCTTGGGGTTCTTTGATATGCTGAATCTAACCATGTATTTAGATTTTGGATATTGGACCATAATAGGTGAATGTCCAATTTAAAATTTTTAAGTTCTTAGACCACATTCAATCTGTGTTAGAAACCTATGCTGTGTCAAATATTTAATCACAATCCAAATCCAAAGCTGTATCAAGCTTGAATGTTGTGTCCATACTTCCCCCAACTGTTCAGGGTTCGACCTCTGCGGTCGTATCAAGCTGCGCCCTGCGGAGCATTTTATTTTATTGAGCAAGAGCACTTTTAAGAAAATGTCATGTTAAAACTTAATTGCTCCATTCAGTCCATTGCTGATAAAACTTGAGTAAATCTAAGGTTTAGTCACTGGAAGCAAGCCTATAGGTCACCTTACGGCCTTCAGGTATGAGCAAAACTAATAATTTATAGCAAGCTATAAAGGCCCCAACATCACATAAAGTGAATGGCTCAAAAGAAAAAATCAATGTCCTTATTTATGTTAAAAGCATATATGGCAGACAGCAACCAACAGCAACCACTGAGCCACATAAAGAATATACTGTAGCATTCATTTATTTTCATGGATTGAGGAAAACTTGCATTTTCATGGATATCTGATTTCATGGTTTCTCCAAAGTCTGCATATATTCCTATAGAAATTTTGTAATTTGTTGTAATTTTAATTCATGGTTTCTCTGTTACCATGAAATCCACGAAAATTGGTATCCGACAAATAAAATTAATCTACAGTAGTGGGTTTTAACCTGTAAAGTGGTGTAACAGCACAACATAAGAACAAAATGTAAAAGCAGTTGCAAAGGGCTTGAAAAATCAGATCAGCATAAACACAAACAAAAAGAAAAAAACATGAAAGTACTGATCTAAGAGTACTCACAGTTACTGAAAGCAGAGCTAATTTCAACTAATAAATAAAACATGTTTTCCCTGACGGTGTAGTATATCTGTATGATATTTTCTAGTACAGTAGAATATTTTTCAGGATGGTTAACTTTAATTCTTCATTCTTTTGATTCATGTGCAGTGATTTATTATTCCTATATAATGTTAAATAATTGTGGCAATATTTTTGTTGAATATTTGTACCAATGAAAGATAATCTTTTTTTTATAAATTTTGTTTGAGAACAGTTTACAGTTAAGTTTATAAAGCAGTGATATTTTGTAAAATTATTTCAACTAATGATAAGACTATATCTCTTTTAAGGCTGAAAGGGCCACTTTTCAGGCTGAAAGGGAAAGGCCTTCTCCAGCCAAGTTATCTTATGCTCAAATGGTGCAGAGAAAAGGAAGTGAGAAAGAAGAAGGAAGCGCTGCCGAAGGAAAACCAGACGATCTTAGTGACAATTCAGGAAATGAGTCGCCTCAGTGTTCTCGTAAAACTCTAAAAGAGCAGTCGCAGACTCAAAAACCTGCTCCTCGTACTCCATCAAAGGAGCATGGTCGTAGGGAGTTTGAACCTAAAGAACAGCGACATGGAGGGGGTCGTAGGCCTGCCAAGGAAAATCGTATTGATAGGAGAGGAGACAGACGTCGAAGTGATAGGAATGACCGTGAGGGCTCTAGATCATCAGTGTCGTCTGCCAAGTGAAAAGTGGCAGGAATTTGATGGCAGCAGACACATAAAAAACATTGGCAAAATTGTTTATGATTTCTGTGATAAGGGATTAAAAATGAAACCATTTTCTGAAGAAGATTTAGTAGGAGAAAATATGAATTTGTAGTGTGAAGAAGAGAATTTGCTGCCGATTGTCAGAAACTTTTGATATTGATAAGGACTGGTTTTCTGTCATTGATGGTTGCTTATGGGTAAAGTGTTTAGGATATGTAACCAGATAATGACATTGGTTTTGAAAGAGTTGCATCAGGACGAGATGCTTTATACTTGTTTTGTTCTGTCTTTCTTCTTTGTTATCTTCTCTTTTCTTTCTTTCTAAAGTTAAAATGCGTTTTATCAAATTTAAAATTTTTAATATGCAAAATTGTACATAATCTTGAATATGTATATTTTGTCTGAGCAAAGCTGCATGGATTGGAAGAAATTTAAGAAGTTTTATTGCGTAAGTGCATTCAAATAGATAGCTACAACTTTGTATATATTTTCTCATTAAAAAATCTTTTTATTTCGATAATTCAAAACATATTTCTGATTATAATCCCAGAACAATTTTTCCTGTCAGAGGTATCCTCATTAAATTAATCTGCATTATGTCTAGTTGTTTACAATATTGCCTAAAAACCATAGACAGATATTTTGTTTTAAATCAGGGTCTGACTGCAGTGGACGAAGGTCAGATTTTGTTTGACCTCAATCAATTGATGAAAGAATGGCCATTAATTAAATATGTTTGGTGCTAGCTCTGCAATATTGGTTGGACTGGTATTGGAAACATACTTTTTAAAGTGAAGGAAATCAAAACTTTTCTTAGAGTTCAGGAATTAAGAATTTTTTTCTTAATTGGAGATCGGAAATTCAATGTGAAATTTTGGAAAATTCTTTTTCCTGGTAATTAGTTGACTGATCTCTGTGAATGCATTAGTATTACAGTTTCTATGAATAGAACAGAAACTTTTTGTTCAGAGTTGGACATTGTGCCACAGACTATTTTAAAAACGTTGTGATGATATGTTGATCGACCCACAATTATATAAATTAACGTGGGGATATTTTGTATATTGGAACTGTATTTTTTGCTTGTTGCTTTAAATTTATTGTGTGTATAATGAGAAATGGTGAGAATGAATGATTACAAACATTTGTTGTTTTATTATTGTTGTCATGGTTACGATGGTGATATTAAGGGAGTAAACAAACACTGGGGTTTTTTTTTTTTTGCAACTGGTTCAAATAAAACATATGGCCATGTTTGTTCCTCTGACAGGTCAAAAGTTATATTTCTGTTGACTTTCGTAGAAAGTTGAAGGATTTTTTTTTCATTTGTTAAAAGAAATGTTGAGAATCTGTGATAAATATTTGTGAAAAGTTTTTATATCTTTATTTAATATTAAGATCAAAGAAATAAGAATTAATGATAGTGCTAATTAAATCATTGAACTGAATATAACTGCTTATAAAATGGTATCTATTGGTGCATATTTATAACCATTTTCTGATGTTGCTGTTCTACAAGCCATTTTTTTCTGTGGCTTGTGGCAAGTGAGGATTCAGCCACGGAAATTGGACAAATACAGATAATTTTGAATTAGGTCTATGAATGAAAACTCGGCATTTAGCTGTGAGAGGGTAAAATTTTCTTTACACTTTTCTTCAGAAGGTACAAGTTTTCAGAAACACTAAAATTTATATAATGTTACAAGTGCCAAATGTAATGCAGCATTGTAGAGATAAATTCTGAAAATGAAAAATAGAAATTGTAATTGAAAGTGAAAAAATGTGTTGTGGAAATGATGTCTGGCACACCTTTTCTGGTTTTATCTAGTCTTGTTTTAGTACTAATAAAAAAAAATACTGCTCTTTTGAGTTCCTGTAACAACTAATGACTTTTAAGGCAATAACAGATGTTTTGAAGTCAATTTTCTTGCATTTTCCAAATATCATATAGGTCTTTCTGCAGCTGTTATTTGTGTCATAAGGGAGATAACTCTATTTAAAATTTTAGAAGCTTGAAATCGCACATAATCCTGTGTTTATCTGAATTAATATCACCATCGTAATTAACAGTGTTTTTGTTTTGGGAGAAATAGCACATATTGATCTTGGCACATGTCAATCATTTGCATGGGTGGAGTCTAATCGGCTTATGATATTTTTTAATATTTAGATTTTTTTGTAATTTGCACCTTGATGTTAAAATTTATGTTTAAGATTTATTAATTATGTATTACTATTTATGGTTTTGGTTTTTGTTTTCTTGTATTTTTTCATACATGTCATTTATTTCATCATGATAAAAAGTATCAAGAAACCACAGTTGATGATTAACATTGAAATTGTAATTTAATTAGTTGTTGAATAATTTTTCATTAAATATTACTCAGAGAACTTTAAACTATGATTCATCTTGTTATCATTATAATCCCATAAATGCTCAATTTTGTTTTAATTTTTCATTTTTCTATCATGATTCTTTGACGGGATTTTTATTTGAGCACAAAATGCTGATTTTCATAAACTAATTAAAGTCAATAATGAAAACATTGCCTTATTATGATTTGTTTCTAGATAATTAAAAATCTTCCATAGAGAATTTAAAGAAATGAGAAAATGAAAGAGGTAGATCAGATACAGAAATAGTGTGCAAAAATTTTAGATGCTTATTTTTTTATTGTACATTTGACAGGTCTGTAAATTGCCTATTTTTAAAAAGTCAGTTTGACAAATGAATACTACTGACTGAAAAAAACTTGTTTCCAAGTTATTCTAACATATCATGTAAAAGTCTTTAAAAACTCTTTGTAAATTTCAGAAATATACTAAATTATGTTCTAACTGAAATAAAATCAGCTTACTAATAAATAGGTGTGTGTAGTTTTATTAATTTTTTTTTTGTAGTTAAGAGGTTCTTTAAAAAATTAATTTTTTGCAGGAATTTTTTTTTTTCAATTTTAATCTAGAAAAACCAAAATATGCCGTACAGGAATTGTGTTCACAGTAGTGTAAAATAATAGCTTTAAATGTGTTTCTTTTGGTTAAAAAAAAGGTAAGACATTTAATTTGATACTCCATGCAGTGAAGATATTAAGAGACAGAGCTTCCTTGTTTGACGATCTATCATCATGTTTGACATGTTTCAGAGTATGAATTAACGCTTTGTCTCGCAAAGATGATTCTTTTCTGCTTTTTGGCAGATTTTCGCTGTTTTCAGTTCGGATTTAACTTTTTTACGCGGTGTCTACGATCAATAATACTGTTAATTTTCAACATTTTATTTCCATCATTAAAATCATATCTGGTCTCAGGGCCTGCATCCTATTAAGATCTTTAAGGTCTTTTTGAAGCATTATACTGACAGACTGCAGATCTTAAGCCTTTAAAAGACAGTATTAGTTCTGTTTCCCTGACCCATTGACATATATGAAGGCTGAAGACATCCAGGCCACACGATATGAACACTCAAGTGGATTGCTTGTTACATAGATTTTTATAACTTTTTTTACCTTTCTATGAAATTAACATTCCAACTCCAAAAACACTCTAATACCATGCATGTAGCAAGGGTTATAATTTTTATGTTCGTCAATGAATAAGAATAAAAATAGAAAGATAATTCATGAGAATTTCATACCCAACAGAAAATAAAAAATCCTATTGATATTTGGATTTCAATTTTAATTTTTGAGAAAATTTGATAAAGTTAGTGTTATTAATTTGTGAGACAAAAAGTGTTGGAATGAATTTTGAATAATTGAAAGAAGAAGAGACGAAATGAGGAAGGCACTGTTTTTCCAATTCATTATTTTCTATTGGCTTTCTTCCATGTTTTATCATGCTATCATTTTACAAACTGCATTTTTGTCCATAGCAACAATTAATTTATATAGTAACGGTTTAGATGTTGTATATGCATTTAGCTGAGGACGATAGTTATTACATTTATTTGATCAACATCTTATTTTTTAATCAGATTATGATAATTAGGGGAAATTATTGTGGTATTTTGTATTCATTAATTAAAGTTGGCAATCACTGATAATCAAACGCACCCTTGGATTGTTGCTTATATTGAAATCATACATTGCTTTACTTTTCTAAAGAGTCCAGTATAATTTGAGGTTCAAAATTTGTTCCAAGGTTTGAAGATCCAGTTTTCATATATTCAGATGTATCTTTTTTTTACTTAGAATTTAACTGTTTCATCCAAATTTTTTCTGGAAATTTTGTTTTTGAATTCTGACTATTTTCTTCTATATCAGTTTTCACAAAAATGACAAAAAAAAGAAAATCACAAAAAAAATGTGCATCCCCACCCAATTGTTCAAAAAAGTTTCATGAGAATCTAGATTATATTAAATAATCGCCTTACATGTACCTATATTTTTTTTGCTCAAAAGTAAAAAGTCACTGAAAAAAAGCTGACATAACTACATGCTATGTTCAATCATCCATGAAAGATGTTGAGAAAATAATGTATTAAATTGTCACTTGATTATTTCTCATGTTTGTGTGTGTTTATGAGCGGGATAAAAAATTGTTGTGTACATATTAAAACTCCTTTACGGAATAGAAAATATTTTATCGATAACCTGTTATTTGTGTGAAAATTTGTTCTGTGAGAGGATTTTTTTTGACGTTCTTGATGCAAATTGTTTATTATTTCTAAATGTAAATATGATAATCAACAGTGAAAAAGATGATGGCTGATTTTTTGGCCTATAGTGAAAATATTATTTTGGATAAAATGCATCGTAAGAATAACTCCTGACAAATGGATTTTTATCCAACTTATAATTTTTCAGTTAGAAAATTATTGCGTAAATAAATACTAGCTCCCCGTCTTTTTGGCACCTGTGTAACCACATTTAAAAACTAAAACTAAAGGAATGTGTGTTATATTCATTAAACATATGAAGTTAAAATGTGATATGCGAGTCCCTTTTGAAACATTTATTTTGTTTGACATTTGGTACCGTATAAACTTGTAGCATTCTTCTATAGTATGAGGGATGTCATTTGATATATTTAAACATTTGTAGACAAAATTTCTGTAAAATAAGTTTATGATTGAAAATTAGACGTACATATAAGGGTATTGACTAATTTCTAATTTATTCCATAATGTATTAAAAATGTTTTTGTCATAATTTAATTAAAACTTGTACCATTTTTGCTTGCAAGTTTGACCAGGTTGACACCATGAGATATAAGTTCATTTCTTTGGTTGATTATCAGGTGCAAGAAAAAAAAATTGATTATAAGAGAAGGAAGCTAAGTCATATATTCAAAAGTTTAGAGAATTTTTTATGGACAAGTTTTAATTGAATGTTGACAGAAGTATTCAGTTGTTGATAGGTCAGTATTTTGTTGACCTATCTTGCCATTATTATATCAAAACCATGTTAACAAGAAAGAGTGTGTGATAGAAAACTTATCTGCTGTTGGTGTTCATAATCATCCAATCAAATTATGTGTTACATGATGCTTCAGCTAATGGTAAACAGGTTTATAAAAAATTATCAGCCAATCATAGAGTAGCTTACAGATTTGTTAAGCTAGTGAAATTTGGTTCATAGCCAATCATGAACAGGCTTGCAGATTTGTCGAGCTAGTAAAAATAAGTCTATCATAACACGGCTTACAAATTTGTCATCCAAACATAGTTCTTCGAAACACAGTGAGGTTTTTCACATCTTGAAAAAAATGGCACAAGTTCTCCCCAATATTTTAAAATGTTTATGATCATTGTATATTTATATCTGGACACAGTGCATAATATGCAGTTTTATAATTGACTTTGCTAGTATCTGTCATTATACGGTGCTTTCTGGTTGTTTAATTTCACCACACTGAAAAATGATTAACAAAACTTGAGTAACTCTGATTTTTGAAGTCTGTGCTGGTACAATGTACTGTGAAAGTATTTTTATTCATGGATATCAATTGTTGTAGATTCATAAATTCATGAATTTCATGATTTTGCCAACTGCTGTAGTAGTATCTTTGAAAATAAATTTTAGTTTGCATGCAGAAATTATAGGATAGCCTCTTTATAGCAGATAATATTAAAGAGTAGTTTAAGATGAGAATTATTTTTCCATACAATTTTTAAAAAGAAAATTTAATCAATGGAATTCAATATCATAAAACTTTTGGTATCTAGGACTGTTTCAGAAACAAATGAGAAGGGGGTAGCAAAAGGCACTTTGTTCCGACCGTGTGAGGGCTGTATAACCAGTCAAGGTCGTTAAAAATTTCCATCATCAAGGCACTTTGTTAGAATAGAAGTGGTATTGTTATCCAATATTGTTCAGTTATCTTTCCTTCAAGCAAGTTAAAATTGGTCCAGATATGACATGATTTGAAATAAAGGGGGGAAGAAATATTGACTTCCTTATGTTAGCTTGATCAGGGGAGATAACTTTATAGGAATTCAGAATTGGAAAGAAAAGTGCCTTTGGCTTCAGATCCCCCTTCTCTGCTCTATAACTAGCAACAGAAGATGTATAATACACCATAGTATGTATAATATGCACCTGCTTCGCAAGTTTCACTTTGACAGTTGTTTACTGTATATATTTCTTTGTTTAAGAAATGTACATATCTAATTATAATATTGTTTATGTAGACATTGTGATGTCGGCTCAGGAAGGAGAGGGGTGGTCTAAACAAAGGTAGATGACTCTTTATTACTTTGAAATTCTATAGATTATCAGTTTGAAGTAACCAAAAAAAAAAATTGTCTGTTTTACCAATTTTTCTGCACCAGATAAAATGGGGATTAAGTAAATTTAAAAGATTATAGTCACATATTGTAAAAACAAAGTTTTACCTCATTTCTTTTCTTACACTCAATTGTAAGTGCCCCTTAGGGGCTCTTTGTTCCTTCCATGAAATTAAACTTTCAAACGAAACCCCTATTTCCTGAGCAGGAACTCCAGACATGACTAATTTACAGGGAATTTCTAATATTTATGCTGTACATTTTGTTAAAGAATAGTAATCTTTATTCTTGATACTTTATGATTTTTGTTTGTTGCAAAAATTTTATCAAATCTGTAGATTTAATGAATTGTAATATTTAAAAGAATTTTAGTTTATAACATGCTATTGCATCAGAATTATTTTCAACTTTAAATTAGTTAAGTTGACCCTTTCTTATGTTTATTTTACCAGAATGAAAATGGTAAGCTCAGTATTTACTTTTGCAAAGCAGAAAAAGAGTTGCATTCAGATTTGTTACACAATTCAGGAAATCTTTCTTATAAAAACTATCTTCCAATTCATCTTTATTCCTGAAATTGTCTCATTTTTACTGAAATGATAGTCCTTGGATCAAAACCACTCCAGGAGTATGCAATTATACCACTTTTGACCCTAATGACCTTCAGAACATTTCTAATGGACATGAATTGGAAGATGCTGTATCCCAAAAATTGTTGAGAATTGAAATAAGATTATTTTTCATTAGCCTTTATGTTTGGTTGAAACAATATTATATGTCAAATTGGATATATTTACACAATTACTTCCTTCTCGTAGAAATATCATTGTAATACTAAATATTCATACTTAATGCATACTAACATTTAGTGTATTTAGAATATTGTGGAGAACATATCTATGTACACAAATATTTGACATTCATATTGCATTCTGTTCACAACAATTTTTTGGCATTAACTGATCTTCAGAGATACACAAAATAAAGACATCATCATTAAATAGATTGTTCATTTGTTTTTTGTGTCAAGATAAATGTACTGAGTAAAAGATAGGTGAAAGATACCAAAGAAATATTTAAATTCATAAATCAAAAACAAACTGTCAATGCCATGGCTATACGAAAAAACAAACAACAGTACACAAAACACAACATAGAAAACTAAAGACCGAGCAACACAAACCCCACTTTAAACCGGGGGTGATCTCAAGTGCTCTGAAGGGTAAGCAGATCCTGCTCCACTAAAGGCACACATTGTGTTGCTCATGTAAGTACAAACCAGGTGATAAGTCTCATTTGGTAGGTAAATAAAGTTTAGCAACAAATAGTTTGTTTTAAATTTCAAAAATAAACTATACTTATAAACATAGATAAATTATTGTAACAAATAAAACCAAGGATACAGTGGAATATTTACTGAACCAAACATTACTAAAATTTACTTAAGCAACTTGGAAAAATTTAATTCAAAGTTTTGAAATTATGCCCCCGCCGTAGCGGAGGGGGCATTAAGTTTTACCCTTGTCCGTCCATATGTCCCAAAGTTGGTTTCCGTTCTCTAATTTTAGTTTGCCTCAACCAAATATTATGAAACTTGTACACAATGCTTATTACCACAAAACACAGATCAAGTTTTAATTTTCATGGCATCACTTTAACCGTTCTAGAGTTAAGCCCCTTTACAAATGGAAAAATTGCTGAAATTTTCATTTCCATTCTCTAACTTTAGTTTGCCTCAACCAAATATTATGAAACTTATACACAATGCTTATTACCACAAAATACAGATCAAGTTTGAATTTTGGTGGTGTCACTTTAACCGTTCTAGAGTTATGCTCCTTTACTAATGGAAAAATTGCTGATTTTTTTGTTTCCGTTCTCTAACTTAAGTTAGCCTCAACCAAATGTTATGAAACTTATATACAATGCTTATTACTACAAAATACAGATCAGGTTTGATATTTGGTGGTGTCACTTTTACTGTTCTAGAGTTATGCTCCTTTACAAAAGGAAAAATTGTTGAATTTTTCGTTTCCGTTCTGAAACTTAAGTTTGCCTCAACCAAATGTTATGAAACTTATACACAATACTTAATACTACAAAACTCAGATCAATAACAAATTTGGGTAGCGTTACTTTTAAAGTTCTTCAGTTATGGCCCTTTATAACTTTATATGATATGCAAGCTGGGGCATCATCTGTGTCCCATGGACACATTCCCCATTTATTAAAATATATGTTGCTAAGCTAGTTTTTGTTTACCTTGTAGAGATTACTCAATACACTATCAATCCCTACAGTCACTGGCTGGTTAGCTTGATCTTGGTCATCTTATCTACCTCTCTTTGGGAGTACACACACTATCATGTAGTGAGGTGATTATTCTTTAGACCCTATGATCCATGCCCATGTTGAGTAATATATTTATAATAGATATTCAGATACTAGTATTCCATTTACTAAATGATGTGTGTGTATTTTCCATAGATATCAAGAAAATCATACTCAAAACTAATAATTAGTTTTGGAAAGCAAAGCAAACAATTGTGGACAAAGGGAGATAACCCAAATTAAGATATTTCCTCAATATACTTGCTATGCATTGCAGATTATCTTTATCCCCTCAGTACTCAAAAGCACTTCGATTTGGTTTGTTCTTTAAACAGTCATTAGAAGAGAGGCATATTCTTGAATAGTCAGAATATATTTTTGCCTTCAAAACTTGGTTAAGAACAGAAAATATTTCGATTTCACAAAAATCTGCATACAGATATATGTTTTGGATATCAGAATGGGAGTTTTATTAAGTTTTACCCTTGTCCGTCTGTACGTCCGTACGTCCCAAAGTTGGTTTCCGTTCTCTAACTTTAGTTTGCCTCAACCAAATGTTATGAAACTTATACACAATGCTTATTACCACTAAATACAGATCAAGTTTGAATTTTGGTGGCGTCACTTTTACCGTTCTAGAGTTATGCTCCTTTACAAATGGAAAAATTGCTAAATTTTTCGTTTCCGTTCTCTAACTTAAGTTTGCCTCAACCAAATGTTATGAAACTTATACACAATGCTTATTACCACAACATACAGATCAAGTTTGAATTTTGGTGGTGTCACTTTTACTGTTCTAGAGTTATGCCCTTTACAAATGGAAAAATTGTTAAATTTTTCTTTTTTTTTTTTTCTAAATATCAAGTCATTTTTAAAATTGGAGTTATCTTCCTTTGTCCATGATTATAGTTGAATCAACTACAATCAATGCTTTATACATTGCAATGTTTAAATTTGCCTTCCACTGATAAATTAAAGCAATTTTTACCCTTCATTTCTAAAAATATTTTAAAGTCTTCTTTGAAAATTGGAGTTATCTTTCTTTGTGCATAATGGTAGTTGAATCAACTGCAATCAATGATTTATACAATGCAATGTTTAATTTTGACTTCCACTGATAAAACACAGATCAAGTTGAATTTGGGTAGTGTCACTTTAACCATTATTGAGTTATGCCCCTTTATAAATCGAAAGATTACAAATTTTTTAGTTTCTTCTAAATATCAAGTAATTTTTTAAATTGGAGTTATCTTCCTTTGTCCATGATTATAGTTGAATCAACTACAATCAATGCTTTATACAATGCAATGTTTAATTTTGACTTCCACTGATAAAACACAGATCAAGTTGAATTTGGGTAGTGTCACTTTAACCATTATTGCGTTATGCCCCTTTATAAATCAAAAGATTACAAAATTTTTAGTTTCCATTCTGTAACTTAAGTTTATCCCAATTAAACATTATGAAACCTATACACAATATTCATTACCACAAAACTAAGATCAAGTACAAATTTTTTGTTTCCGTTTTCTAACTTTAGTTTGCCGCAACCAAATGTTATGAAACTTGTACACAATGCTTATTTCTACATAATACAGATTAAGTATGAAATTTGGTGTGACACTTTTACCATTCTTGAGTTATGTCCCTTTATAAACATAAAAATTGCCGAATTTGTTTCCGTTCTCTAACTTTAGTTTGTCTCAACCAAATGTTATAAAACTTATACACAACCGTTCTAGAGTTCTGCGTGTTTACAAATAGAAAAATTGCTGAATTTTTAGTTTCTGTTCTCTACTTAAGTTAGCCTCAACCAAATGTTATGAGACTTACACACAATGCTTATTACCACAAAATTCAGATCAAGTTCAAATTTGGGTAGCGTCACTTTTACCGTTCTTCAGTTATATCCCTTTATAACTATATGATATGCAAGCGGGGGCATCATCTGTGTCCACATGTGGACAATATCCACATTTTTTATTTTTGTGTTACTCACTAGTCACATGAATCAAAATAATAAATACCTTGCAATAATATCTGAATTTACAGTATTTGGGAGGTGTTTCAAGCATAATAATTATAAAAATGGAACAGTAGATTTTTTTACCAGCAGAAACCATTGACATTTTAATCAGTTTTCTTGCAAGTGTTGAATCCTATTTATTTAGCTCACCTGGCCTTAGGGCCAACTGGACTTTTCTCATCACTTTGGTGTCTGTCGTCATTAACTTTTACAAAAATCTTCATCTCTGAAACTACTTATCCAAATTTAATCAAACTTGGCCACAATCATCATTAGGGTATCTAGTTTAAAAAATGTGTCCGATGACCCTGCCTGCCAACCAAGATTCCCGACATGGATAAAAATAGAACATAGAGGTAAAATGCAAGTTTTTTCTATTATCTTAGAACCACTATAAATAGAGAAAATCTGACTGGGCAGAAACGTTCAGAATGATGAGATCCACCTATTGTCCTTTTACATCAAAACTGTCAGACAACTTTTTATTGGAGTTATTGCTCTTAAATGACCAATTTTTCCAACTTTTAAATTTTTTGCCTTTTATCTTCAAAATTATTGTAGATAGAGAGAAACTTTATATAGCAAAAATGATCAGCAAGATAAGTTCTACTAATATGTCAACATGGTTGTAATCGTCTGACGACCCCTTATTGGAGTATTGCCAATTAATGATGGTTCTGACCAATTTTTTGCATTTGCCTAATATCTGAAAAACTACAATAGATAAGTAGAAACTTAAATAAGCAAAAATGATCAGCAAGACAAGATCTACAAGCAAGTCAACATGGTTTCAATCGTCTGATGACCCCTTATATAGAGTAATAACGATATTTATCATTTTTTTTTGCGTTTTTGCCTAATATCTGAAAAAGTATAATAAATATATAGAAACTTAAATAGGCAAAATGATCATCAAGACAAGATCTACAAATAAGTCATATATACATGTTTGTAGTTGAAAATCGTCTGACGACCCCTTATTGGAGTATTGCCAATTAATGATGGTACTGACCAATTTTTTGGATTTTTGCCTACTACCTACAAAACTATATTAGATGGATAGAAACTTAAATAAGCAAAAATTCGTAAGGGTTCCGCGGAACCCATACTTTTGCTGTTGTCTATGTTTTCAGTGTGATAGGGGAATGCACATAATATAGATTTACAGTTAATGAAATGGTTTCTGAATCTAATAAATGTTTTATAAACTTTAACTGCAGACTGTATGTAATGTTAACTGGAAGGAAAACTAAGTCCATTTATAAGTAATATACGGAAAAATAAGAAATAAATTTTTACAAAATTTCTTCTAGATACTAGCTTTTGATCATAAACAAGTTTCTGTCCAAGTTTGGTACAAATCCAGGATAGTTAAAGAAAGTTATTAAAATTTTTAAAACTTTAACCACAGAGTGAATGTAATGTTAACTGGCAGAAAAACTAAGTCCATTTATAAGTAAAATACGGATAAAAAGATTTTTTTTTACAAAATTTACTTCTGGATACTATCTTATGATCATAAACAAGCTTTTATCCAAGTTTGGTAGAAATCCAGGATATTTTAAGAAAGTTATTAAAATTTTGAAAAACTTTAACCACAGAGTGAATGTAATGTTAACTCGCAGAAAAACTAAGTCCATTTAT